ACTAATTGTTTCTGCTTTACACATGACAATGTATTTTTTTTTTTTCTGATTACTAAAAATGAATAAATAAAGACCTGCTGAGTCTCTAGGCAGAAGATACTAGCACCTCACCAAGTGTCAGTGTCTCCTCATTCTACCTCATCCCCTTCCCCTCAGCCCTTTCGTTTTCGCCGACGCATCTCATCCTTTCAGGAACCCCTGACATGACATTTTGCCGGAGGCTGGTCCCCGGCAGGCACAATCCTATGATCAGAAGCCTAGCTTGTAGAAAATTGAGGGGTGTGGAGTTAGGGTATATGATTCTTTTTCTTGAGCATCTCTCCAAAAGGGAGACGTGGCAGTTGTTAGACTATGTTAAAATGAAATTTGGGGAAGCAGTGTGACAGACCATGGCAGAGAAGGCAGGCAAAGGTGGCAATGATAGCTCAGGCCCCATCTGGACTGGCCTCCAGGTGTAGGAAGCTGCCAGAGTAATAATGATCTCTCACATTTCCTTTTTAATGGATCAGTTATTTAATTATGTTGTGAGGTTACATTCCACTTGTGAGAGCAAGCACAGATTAGAGGCAGCCCTGGAGATGGGGGTCAGCTTTAATTTTTGGCAGACTTCGTGAGTCCACAGCTTTCTGTTCAATCTTTTTAAAAAAGATTTATTTATTTATGCATACAAAAACTAGGATACAGGCCAGAGGTGTGGGGGTGAGAAGATTCACCAGAGACAGAGCAGGACAGGCAGACTGACTGAAATACACTGCTGAGGGGAGCAGCGGGCGAGACAGGAGACGTCTGCTGCGCCATGTGGGTCACCTCCCTGGCTGGGGCTTGAACTCATGCTGCAGTGACAGCAAATAGCTTCATAGTGCTGAGTCTTAACCCCTTGTGCCACCAGGGAAGCCCCTTTCTGTTCAGTTTTGTGTAGCTCTGTCATCTCGCATTTCTTTCACTGTGTTGAAGATCTAAACTTTCTGGTGTTGGGGCTCACATAGCTTTTTGAAGTGAGATATTTTGGGATTTTCACACCACTGATATCAATTTGGGTAGAGATGGTGACAGATTTCTGGTGTGTTCTATGTAGAGGAACTTGATTGAGGGCAGAGGTCTGAGCCACTGCTCAGTTTCTTCAGGAACCACCCTCCTGTCTCTGTAGCACCAGACAGGGATGGTCACAATGGCCCCCAGAGCAATGCCAGCTGTTTTCTCACATGCCGAATGAAGGGATTTCTGCTGTGGCTCAACAGCTTTCAAGGCACAGCATCAATAGGACAGCATGCAGGCATTTTTTGAAATTTAACCTCTTGGATACTGTCATTCTTTCACCATTAGCTGGTTTTCTGACAGTACAAGAACACTTCTTTCAATCCTAGATTTAGCTGCTGAGTAAGTCTTACATAAAACTGTTCTGGAATACATAGCAGATCAGGAATATCTACCAATTCATCTGACTAGAATGGGGTCTTGCTATAGTGGGGTTTCCCTTTCTAAGGTATTTTGGCCTTGAGATTTATGCCTCCTAACCTTGCCAGCAGCATCAGACATTCTGGCTTCAGGTTTCTTTTCCTCAGTAGCTGGCTTCTCAGCTTTTTAACCTGCCATCTTGCAAGATGGGAAAGAGCCCTCTCAGACTATCAAATATCACTTTCTTTCAATTAATCCCATGGGGGAGCCAACCATACCTCTGACTTTCCTAGGGATAGAGTGTTCCTTCCTTTGGGCAGAGTTATTAGGGCTTCTATAAACATCAAATTGAAAAGCTGTCTACTGGGGAACCTCACTGTCCAAGGTTTTACTGGGGGCAGGTCATGCAGGTACCCTTTACCTAACATATTCCCAAATTCCAAGCGCCTGGAAGGAAACAGGTGTCCAGCATAAAACACACTGTTTCTACACAGTTTAGGCACAATGAGCGAGCCTCTTATCAGTTAGGGACTAGTGGGACCTCTCCTAGAATCCAAGTTTCTTGATGCCTGTTAAGAGCCAAACTCGCAAGCAGATCTTTCTAAGGATAGCAGTCTAAGGCCTGTTATGTAAACACCTTTTATTCATATCAAGCCAGCTTCTGATTTTTCTGTGGTGTTGGCTAAGGTATCACCTTAGCCAGGATGCAAGACTGGTGGTCCCCATCATATTTCTATTTGATTGATCACTCTGGCCCCTGAAAAATGTTGACACATCCTGCAGGATCAGAGTAGACTACGGCAAAATCCACCAAGTAGGAACCCTGATTATAGCTGCTGTGCCAGATTATAGCTTGCTTTGCTAGAACAGATTAACATGGCTATGGATATAAGGTACGTGACCACTGATCTGGTGTGTGCTGATTTTTCCATCTCTGTAAGAAAATAGGACTATAGACAGTTCACAATCACATGGAACAAACATGTTACACTCTTGCTTCAGTTCTATAACTGAAAGTGACCTAGACCAGACAGACATTCTACAGACAATTTCTTTGTTCACTATATTGATGGATGGTATTGATCCAATGAGATAAGCAAGATTTGACTAGTAAATTTGAGGCCTTGCGGGTAACTCAGAGGGTGAAATAAAACCCATGAAATTCTGGGCCGGCCACATCAGCAGAATTTTGTGGGAGTGTCGAGTGGTGAGGAACATGGTAGGCCATCCCCTATGAAGTAAATGATAAATGATTATGACTTGCATTTCCCACAAGGAAGAAGGAAACACAATGCTTTAACAGACTATCTCTTTGGCTTCTGAAAGAAGTGTATTTCACACTAAGTATACTATTCTCAATAATGCAATTGGCCATATTTAAGGCTGCCAGTTTTCAGTGAAGCCCCAAACAGCTTCCAAGGTAGGCCTTATTGTGGTGAAAATAAGCCTGCCACTTGGGTCACCTAAGTTAGCAGGCCCTATGATAGTAGCTATGGTAGAGAGGAAACATGAGGAAGACATTAAAGCAAAACCACCACATACTCTTTTGTTTCTCTGCTCATTTTATTGAATAACTGAATGTATAAAACCACATACAGCACATCAGTGAAAAAATACTTTATTTTTCAAGTATAAAGGATTCCTAACCCCCAATTATTTCTGTAATAATTTAATTAAAACTAAACATATCTTTTGATACATTTCACCTTTTCTCAAATTAAAGACAATGGTATAATTGTGATCATCTTTAGTAACCAAATTCTATTTCCAGAGATTTAAACTTGATATGGAGAAAAATGTCACATTAAGTCCTTCATACCTGGTTTGGTGCTGAGGTTGGCCTTGGCTGCTTGAGGAATCTCTGAAGGGGAACTGGTTTTGCTCTGCACGGGGTTTTGCTCTTCCTTGGCTAAGCTGGAATCTCTGGGAACAGAGGACTGAGGTATACACTGTGTTCAGGCATTTGTTAGAGGTGGAGGTGGGGAAGATCCTATATTTCTTATGTCAGATTTCTACTGGCAATCATTTCTCCATTAGAATAAAGAGCAGACAGAAAACTCTGGGCCCTTGAGAATATCAATATTTTGCCCACAGTTACCTATCTCTCAGGCAGGGGAACTAAGGCTGAGGTCATTGTGAACACAAGTAGTAAACTGATTGTGGCAACTATGAGAGTGGCAGAAACTAGGGCTTGAGTCTTAGGACGGTTTCCCAGGTTTCATTTATTCTAAGCAGCCAGTACAGAGCTAATATTTGGATATACTATGTTTGGATGTGTTCTCGTATTTGCAGGACACATTGATTTTAATTTTTATACTGAAAAGTAGAGTAAGGGGGAAAAAGTCTGCATCTCTACCACAGTATCTCCATAAAATCTAAGTGCACACCCAAACTTTCCATTAAAGTGCCCATTATCAATTAAAAATTAAATAACTAAAATAAATAACGGGTAGCTAATGAACTTTTTTTTAAGATAGTAAAAAGATATGACCAGTGATTCCTTCTTAGTGTAATGCTGACCTCTCAAATATGAGTAAAATCCCACTTTGAGGGAAGGTTTGGAATCCTACATCAAAATATAACATGGATAAAAATATAAAATTCTTAAATATAAAAAAATTTTAAGCCATCATATTCTTACTGATAGTAATATAATATAAATGATAATCAAATTTAAGCACAAAATACAGTTCCTTTCTAGTTAGCACATTGAGATAATAGGTACTGAAATTCTACTTACTAAGGCATAGAAATCTGAATGAGGTTTGTATATATACATGTGTATTGAAGTGGAACTTTGGCGTTGGGTTAAGAAATTTTTACTCTAATTGATAAGATGACTGAATTGTTTTTACTAAGAAATTAGGAGAAAAGCTAAATTTCTCTCACTTGGATCAACAAACAGCTAAGAGTTCTATTTCTGTATATTCAGTATGCGCCTACTCTAATGGCTGTTTTACTTATGTTTTTTGCTAAATAAAAAATTTTGGACAGTAATCTATTCTAATTAGAGGAAAATATTGTAATCCTTTCTCCAATTCCTATTTCAAGTAGAAGAGCCACATCCTTATTTTTAAAAGTTTCTTCTATATTTTTAAAAAATGTCATCAATATTACTTTCTGTAAAATACAAAGCAGCATTAAAAATATTCAGCTAGTACTTGCATTCAGGGATTAAAAATACACCTTTCTGATGAAGTAAGTCATGAGACAATGTTTGGAATAACTGTCAGGCCAAATAAGCATGGAAAATCAGATTTATGACCCTCTAAGAATCTTTTAAAGCTATACTGGTTTACATCAAAGGACTCCCTGGTGAGGAGGAGCGATGTAATGCAGAGGAAAACTAAGACCTCATCAAGGTCTTTTTAACTTGATTCTGAGGAACTTTAAAAGGCAATAGATCTGCACCAAGTGTCATTCTCACGGTCAGCACTACACAATGTCTTGTAAAAAGATCTTTTTGTATTATTGGTAAGAAAAGCAGCCTGGATGGGGTTCAAGATGGACATATAACTGAATTCTACTTTATTGTAAAATACATTAAAGTACAATTCAATGGACTTAACATAAAGCACATGTAAGGTACTTCCTTGAAAAAAAATCTGATGCTGCTGAAGAAGTGTTCATTTCCTAGGACTACAGCTTAATGTGGCTGATTTGATATCATTTCCTTAGTCTTGTGGACTTTTCTTGAGCCTTTAACATCCTTTAATACAATAGTGACTAGCACTAATTTAGGTCTATAAAAACATAATTGTCACAAGTCACACAAAAACATGATAGACTAGAACAAATTTCTACACATCTTCAAAAGAGTCTTTGGATAACTACAGTGCATAATGCTCCAGAGGATCCAAACAAGTATCTGAAATGGATAGTATTTAATGATGATAAATGAAAATAAGTTTCTAAAAAGTTATACCAATGTCATTTAAGGTAGTACGTGAACTTATTTCATGAAATATAGTCTCGTTCTATGCTCTCCTGACAACATTCCCAACAGAAAGTTTCCAGTCTATTTGCTGTTTCTTGGCTGATGAGACAGTCATCTTTTAACTCCCTGATTGTCTTCCTCAGTGACTTTTGGAAACGTTTTTCTCGGTCTAAAACATTCTGCAGACTTTTCTTGGTATCCTCTAGCTCGCTGATCACGTGATCTAATTTATGTTTAAGTTTCTTTGGACTGTCCATTACACTGTAGCTATGTTCCTAAAAACATAAACACCAAGTTATTAGACAGACAAGTACTTAGATAAAAGCTTATACCTAGGCTTTCTTTGTTCCTCCTTTAAGGTGCTTAGGGATCTTTAAGTTGGTGATACTAAGAATGTTCAAAGAACATAGAAAGAAGATAGGGATGGAAACTATATGGCTTTTGTTTAGGCATAGGAAAGAAACCTTGCTTGCTATGACTATACAGGTTTTGTTCCCTGAGAGTGGAGCCGCTAAGTTTATCTTACCTTACAAACACAGACTTAAACTTTCAAGTGAGTTACTCAATTTTATTTATTTTTTATTTTTTTTTAAAAAAGATTTATTTATTTATTTATACAAGCACTGGGTACAGTCAGAAGCGCAGGAGGGTGAGAGAATTCACTAGAGCCAGAGCGGAGAGTAGAACAGGCAGAGTGACGAAGTACACTGCTGAGGGGAGCAGCGGGCGACAGGAGAGGTCTGCGTGCCATGTGGGACCCTTGCCCGTGGCCGGGGATCGAACCGGTGCTGCAAAGGCTGTGGGCAGCTTCGCAGCCCAGTGCTCAACCGCGGCACCACCGGGGAGGCCTTGAATTACTCAATTTTAATAAATATTTCAGTTGATAAGGAATGACAGCCAAAGAGCACTGGAGCAGAGCCTCAGGCTGGGTATTCTAGATTTAGAGAGGATTCTGATTTTGGAATTTTAAAGTGATAATTTAAGTTTTCTCAATACTTACTATGATTATGTGTAAGTTTGCTGGGTATACTATTTTTCATTCAAAACAGGGAGAATAACACTGACAAGGTAAAACTATTTTGAAAAGCTGTTATTTAGTATTAAAATTAGTGAAGAGGATTTTTGCTTCCAGTCAAGATGAAGTAATAGATTGGAATGACCCCATCTAAAAAAAACCAATACACGGTCAGAACCTCACTGAGTAGTGACACTTCAGATAGCTTGGTACACATGTCATAACAGCTCAGAAGAAAAGTTGAGGTAGAAAAAGAAACAATGAAGAAATCAAGTCAAAAATTTCCAAGTTTGATGAAAGCTATAAACTCACAGGTAAAGAAGAAGCTTAAGAAATCCCAAGTATAAGAAACATTAAGAAAATTAAACTAAGGTACATCATAAACATATTGAAAGCCTTTGGAAAAGTTCCTAAAAGCAAAGGAAAAAAGAAATGCTAAGTACAAAGGATCAAGTATGACAGTAGGCTTTTCATTAGAAATAATCCAGGCAGTTGAGCGCAGCGCTGTGAAGCTGTCCGTAGCCTCTGCAGTGCGTGTTCGGTCCTGGCAGGCCGGGGAGATACCCACATGGTACAGCAGAACTCTCCTGTCTTGCCTGCAGCTCCCCTCAGTGGCGTATTTCAGTTAGTCTGCCTGTTCTGTTCCCCGCTCTGTCTCTGGTGAATCCTCTTACCCTCCCGCACATCTGGCCTGTACCCCAGTTCTTATATAAATAAATAAATCTTTAAAAAAAAGGAAATAATGCATGTGAGAATACAGTGGCACAGTATCTTTCAAGAACTAAAGCCAAAAGCCAAATAATAAAATCCTAAAACTATCAACCTAGAATGTTAAGATTTAGTGAAAATATTTTTAAAAAATGAAGACTAAATAACTTCTCAAATACATACTAAAAGGATTTATCACCAGCACAGTTGCAATATAAGGAAAGTTAAAGCCAGTCCTTCAGACAAAATAATGCCAGATGGAACCAAAGACTTACACAAAGACATGAAAATCCCAGATAATGGCAACTACAATGGTATGTGCAAGTTTGTTTTTTTTTTAAATTATTTAAACTTGTTTGAAAGATAATTTACTGTTTTAGCAAAAATAGCAACAATGTGGTATGGGGTTTATAATGTGTAAATATGAAATGTATTAATAGTGGTAGCAGAAAGGGTGGGACAGGAGAAAGAAAAGTATATTATTGTAACATTTTTACTACCTGTGAAGTAGCATAATGTCACCTGGATATAGCCTGTGATAAATTAAAGATGCCTGTTATAAATCCAAAAGCAACTGCAAAACTAAAACAAAGCTAAGAGCCCCCAAAAGGTAGAAATGCTGCCTACAAAGAAAGAAAAAATACTGAAAAGATAAAAAGGTTGAAAGTGAGAGTGAAAAAAGATAAACCAACATAACACTAATAAAAAGTGAGTTAGAGTGTGTATACTGCCATCAGACAAAGTAGATTTCAGAGAAAACAACATAACCATGGATGCAGGGGTCCATTTCTTAAGGACAGAGGGGCTAATTTATCAAGACAGAGCAAACCAAGTATTTAGTACCTACTTACAGTGCTGAAAAATATAACATATAATATCTGACAACTGCACACAAAGCATTAGCTATTCTATATTACAAGCCTCAATAAATTTAAAAGCATGGGCTTCCCTAGTGGTGCAAAGGGTTAAGTCTCAGTACTCTGAAGTTATCTGCAGCCACTGCAGCATGAGTTCAATCCCTGGCCAGGGAGGTGACCCACATGGTGCAAACCCACATGGCACAACCTCTCGTCTTGCCAGTTGCTCCCCTCAGCAGTGCATTTCAGTCAATCCGCCTGTTCTGCTCCCCACTCTGTCTCTGGTAAATCCTCTTATTCTCCCAAACCTCTAGCCTACACCTCAGCTCTTGTATGCATAAATAAAATAAATATTAAATTTTTTAAAAAGCATTCAAGCCAAGCATTGTTTATTCTCTGTCCACTTTAGGATTAAATAAAAAATGAATGATGGAAAGCTATCTGGAAAATTCCCCAACATTTGAAAACAACATGGCACATTTCTAAGTTTTCATGAGTGGAAGAACAAATCAAAATGAAATTTAGAAGTATTTTCAACTAAATGGAAATGAAAGCATAACATTTAATTTCAGAAATAGAACTAATGCAGTACCCCAGTAGAAATTAATATCACCAACTGCCTACATTATTAGAAAAAAGTAAGCAAATTTTGCTGAAGACAGTAAAAGAAAATGATAAATACGAGAGAAAGCAGTAAAGTAGAAAACAAAAATAACAACAAAAGCAAGAGAACAAATTAAAGCTAATTCTTTGACAAGATCAATAAAATTAGTAAAACTCTAGCGGACTGAGCAGCAGAGAAACAAATTACCAACAGTAGATATGGAAGAGACAATTTTACTACAGAGTTTAAAGATACTAAAACAGTAATAAGAAAATGTTATGAACAATTTAAGCTAATAAACTTGACAACTGAGATGAAATAGACAAATCTTCTGTAAGATATAAAATAACTTGGGCCTCCCCGGTGGCGCAGCGGTTGAGTGCTGGGTTGCAAAGCTCCCCGCAGCCTCTGCAGCGCCGGTTCGATCCCCAGCTGCTCCCGGCCACTGGAGGAGGGTCCCACATGGCGCGCAGACCTCTCCTGCCGCCCGCTGCTCCCCTCAGCAGTGTACTCCGGTCCTTCTGCCTGTTCTGTTCCCCGCTCTGGCTCTGGTGAATTCTCTCACCCTCCCGCACTTCTGACTGTACCCAGTGCTTGTATAAATAAATAAATAAAATAAAATAAAAATAAATCTTTAAAAAAAAATTTAAAAAAATATATAAAAGAACTTTCCCACAAAGAAAATTACTTGTCCTGCTAGTTTTACTAGGAATCTACCAAATATTTATAGAACAAATAATACCAATACTATTTAAACTCTTCCAGAAAATCAGAAAAGGAAACAATATTTTTCAAACCATTCTTTGAGGTCAGCTCTATTCTAATATAAACCCAGACAAAGACATAAGAAAGAAAACTATAGGTGAATATCCCTCTTGAACATACAAGGAAAGACTATAAACAAAACTTTAGTATCTAATCCAATAATGTGGAAAAGGGTAAATACATCACAAAGAAGTAGGGTTTATTCCAGGAATGCAATGTTGGTTTACATTAAAAGACCAGCCGATATATAAGTCATATCGATAAAGTAAAATTAAGAAAAACTATATGATCTCTCTAAATAGGTACAGAAAATGCATTTGACAAAACTAACATTCTCTCTTTTTTTGGTATAGCAAATACATTGTTATTTTCTTTTGTGAAAATAAACAACTGGGAATTTATGTTGATTAAAAAAAATCCCATAAGGCCTCCCTGGTGGCGCAGTGGTTGAGCACTGGGTTGCAAAGCTGCCCGCAGCCTCTGCAGCGCCGGTTTGATCCACAGCCACCGGGTGAGGGTCCACATGGCGCGCAGACCTCTCCTGCCGCCCGCTGCTCCCCTCAGCAGTGTACTTCGTCAGTCTGCCTGCTCTGCTCTCCGCTCTGACTCTAGTGAATTCTCTGACCCTCCCACGCTTCTGACTGTACCCAGTGCTTGTATAAATAAATGAATAAATCTTAAAAAAAAAAATCCCATAAAAACAAAAGGAAATACACACAGAAAAAACATGTGAAGTAATGGGTGGAGAAGAGAGGAGAGTCATTCTTTGGAACTTCGGCAGACTGTGCTAGCACTGACCCAGGAGGTAAGAGTGAGACTTAAGAGTCAGGTCCCAGCTACTACTTTGGGACCATGAAGATCTTAATTGCTAAGTAGGTAGAACACAGATTTCTTGATGAGTAAGTAGCAGGCACCCTGAGTTCCTTTCAGTGTGTGGAAGCACCACTTCAGAGTGCCTCTGCCCCACTGAGACCTGGAGGCTGGCAGGTTAGGACTCACTGAGGAAAATGGGAGTTGGTAGAAATAAATCGGGCAGAGGTGGCTTTTCTTATGGTGCTAGATTTATAATGGGCACAGGACGAAGAAAATGAAGGCAAAGAACTCATAGAGTTGAGAAGAGGAGGAAAAACACAGGTGGGGTAAAAACAAATGTGCATTTCTGATTTAAAAAAAACTCTCAGCAAAGTAGGAATAGAAGTGCATTTCATCAACATGATAAAGGGAATTTACAAAAAAACCTACAATTAGTATCATATTTAATAATGAAAGACTGAATGCCTTTCTCCTAAAATCAGGAGCAAGGCATCAATAGATTTTAGTAAGTCTATTCAACAGGGCCCTGGAGGTTCAATGCAGTGCAATAAAACAAGAAAAAGAAATAGAAATGAAAGGCACCCACACTGCAAAGGAAGACTAAAACTACCTTTAATGACAGACAACATAGTTATTCATGTGGGAAATTTGATAGCCTCTACCAAGAAGCCTTTAAAATTAATTATGTGAGTTTTATAAGTTTGCAAAATGTTAAATCAATCTACAAAAATTGATCAAGTTTCTATATACCAGCAGTAAATAAAACAATACCATTTATAATAGAACAGAAATATAAAATATTTAGGGATAAATCTGACAAATGAAGTGAAAGACTTTCACAATGAAAACTATCAAACATTGCTGGGAGATGTTAAAAGTATAAAGAAGTGAAAAGATCTATTGAGTTCATGGTTAAAAGACTTAAAATAGTCTTACTAAGATGTCAATTCTTCACAAATAGATCTGTAGTTTCAATACAATCCCAATCAAAATTTCACAGGAGTTTTTGTAGAAACTGTTACAAACTGGTTCTAAAATTCATGTAAGAGTATAAAGAACCTAGAATATAAAAAAACAACTCTGAAAAAGAATGAAGTTGGAAGACTAACACTGCCTGATTACAAGAATATAAAACTATAGTAATTAAAATAATAAGATAGATCTGGATTCCAATGAGATGAATAAATAAATATAAGCTAGAATATTCGTTATGTGTATGACTATTGTTCAAGAAAAACATAAAGGCTTAACCATATTTTAGGCATTAGGTATTTCAGGTATTAGATATTTCAATATTAGAAGATATGGTACCTAAAGGGAGGAATTAATTATTGTATTTTCTTGGTAGGAATATCTTTGTAAAATTATTCTTTGAATTAAATATGTAACTGAAGGGTTAACTGTCTTTACATTGTTATTGCATTTATACAAACTATAATGGCCCTGGAAAGCAATATTATTTTTGGATATTACGTATTAGAAAAAATCTGATACACCTAAACCCCTAGTTTGATCTTAATAGAGAGAACACATTCATGTTAAAATACCAACATTAGGGCCTTCCTGGTGGTGCAGGGGTTAAAGTCTTAGCACTATCAAGTTATCACCAGCCTCTGTGGCATGAGTTCAACCCCAGGGAGCTAACCCACATAGTACAGCACACCTCTTCTGTCTTGCCTGCTGCTCCCCTCAGTAGTGTATTTCAGTAGATCTGCCTGTTCTGCTCCCCACTCTGTCTCTAGTGAATCCTCTCACCCCATGCACCTCTGTCCTAGCTCTTGTATGCATACATAAATAAAAAAAGAAATAAATCTAAAAAAGAAATACCAATATTAGGAACCTTACTTACAAAAATAAGCTGGGATTGGAATTCTTCAGTGCACGAGGAAGCACCAACAAGCTGGTGATTGTGGTTTGTGACGGGAAGAGTTTTGAGAGTGAAGTTTGTTCTACAATGAAGCTTTTCTCTTTTTCCCTGTTGAGAACAATTAATTAACAACGCATAACAATTATTGTAGATACTTCTGTTCTTTCTTAAGTTTTTATTACTTTTAAACTTGTTTAGTAAAATTAATGCAACTTTTTTTCCATAGGAAAGCACATAATTCAATTAGCATTTATTTATATAATCTTGTTCAGAATTTACTAAAATTCCTTTATTTTCTTTTTCTAGCCTTTTCTCACCTTTCCTTCTCTAATTCTTACCTCCTTTTTCCCTCTGTCTTTTTGCTCCAACCTAAGCTTTAAACATGAATATGTGACTATAGTTTGGTCTGGTAGGGGCTCTGCTGTTGACTCCTGCTCCAGTGTGAGAGGACTGTCAACTTGGAACTCCAGTTTAAGCCTTTTATGCTAACTTCCAATTTTTAGACCACAAATCTTCAGTTACGTTAAATCCTAAAGTTACAGTCCACTTCACCAACCCTTAGTAATGTATAAATATTTCTGTGTGTCTATTGGTAAAATATTTCTACAAATTACGAAGTTGAAGCAGCAATTTAAAATTTAATAAATCAAAGGACTTCAAATGAATATGGTTAAAGTTTTTCAATAGTCCCATGAAAAGTGAGTAATAATGGTAAGCAGTGCTTTGTAAACATACCTGTAAGTGAGATGGGAAATCAAAGATAGAAGGTATGACTCCAGGTTTCAGTTTAATATTTGGAGCACTTCTGTCAAAATCTGTCTTCTTAAAGTGCCTTGAACACAACACATCTCCTTTTTTGGGCTCCCAAATGCCTGCAGCATTCACATCAAGTCTTTTCATTGCTAATACCCATTTTCTTTTGACATTTTCATCTGTGGGGAATCTAGAAAAAATACAAAATTTTCTTGAAAACTAAACACTATTGACATATACTTGAATTAAGGCTGTGACTAAATTGATTCCTTAATTAGTTTATTAGTCTTGGGAATGAGAATATTCAGGAAACCATCATGAATCATGCTTTCATAACTTTGTTTTAATAGTTGAATTTTTATACCAATCATGCTATAGACATATGGCACTCTTTTTGATTTTTCTCATACTGAAGAAAAGTTTCAATGGATATTTAACAACTTACAGTAAGATCCACAATAGAAAGTTTTTTCATCTATAGATGATGAAGACTACTATTTGGGCCTTTACCTATATAAACTGATATCTAGAACCTATCCCACATGAATACAGTCCATTGTACTTTCATTTTTCTGTCAGTATCAGAAATTTCTCAGTACTGCATTTAACACATAACAGTTCTGTAAGAGTTTAATGAATGACTGCAGAAAATAGCTTCCACTTGGAGTTCTGGAGATGAGGACTACTTTGGAGGCCAATAACTCTACCTTTTCCAATTTTTCAAGCTGTTTTAAATCCTTCTCGTGGAATAAGGTAGAGCACACATACTCATTTGATTCCCTCATACCTAGCAAAGTAGTTAGGCGATCTTTCTCTAGCACATGGTTCAGCGCCTGGTACAAAAAACAGCAAAATAAACCTAGCAAATGAATAATTTCAGACCTATTATCCTGTCTTTCCTTTGCTGTCAGAAGAACTGCTAAAATACTAAATTATGATCACCTTAATTGATCTGCATTATAGCCAAAGGCCTCTTGTAATTTCTATTTTTTCTTTACCATCTAAGCTTGATCTATTTCTAAATAGAAAGGACATCATTTATTTGTGTAAATATCCTTTCTCCCCTCAGACTGTAAATTCAGACTTCTTTGAAGGTGTTAAAATGCAAAGTAAAAAATATTAGCAAAAATGAACTTTATGATATTATTGCTAACCAGATGGATACTTTGGCAGGTGTCTCAAATGTCTAAACTAAATCATAAAAGTACTACTGTCACTCAAATTTAACTAAAAAAGTTATTTAAAAAGGACATGGGGACTAAAGGTCAAAATTTGAAGGTTTACGTAGACTATCTTCAGCTTTTTCCAACAGTCAAAGTACTTGGCTTAACTACAGCAAAATCTTACACGTGAAATGTCAGTCCTTTTAACTTGGAATTTGGCAAACATCGAGAAGCGCATCCAATGGCCGAGCAACATTTCACCATGATTTTAGCGACTCATAACAGAACTGAAAAAAATTAAAATGGTAAGAGTTAGTAACGTTAAAGCTACCGGGAACATACTGACATTTCCCAGTATGTTTTAGGTTACATGAAACAATGCTGGAAACCCAGAGGCAAATATTTTCTTCCATCAACTTCAGCTTTGTTCATAGTGTTTTCCAAGGGCTTGGCTCTTTAATAAAGTTAGTTATACATATTGTGTATGCCGAAGCACCCGATTTTAATTTTGCAGCCTTGTACATTTCCCTCCACCACTTCTGACAGGCAACAGGCTCCTGTGCCAAAAAGTGCTTGGCACACAAACTCCTACTGATCTTTCATCTCAAATGTTGAGTCCCCAGGGAAACACTCCTTGACAGTCAGACTGAGTGGGAGCTCCTCTAGTATTATGGCTTGTAGAACAAGCACTTCTTCCCAGCACTTCTCAAATTGTAATGTAATCTTACATTTACTACAGTGATTCTCTGATCCATGTGTTTCTTTCCCACCACTCGACGAGGGTATGGTGGGAGTGAGGAGTGTGTGCTTTTGCTCATTTCTGGTCCCTACATCTTAGCTGGCCACTGGCACATGGCAAATATTAACGCATATTATGAAACTAAGATGAGCAAGTCAAGGCGAAACGGAGTAAGGAAGAAGCATCTCGAGACGCCCCTGGGCTCAGCAGCAGCAGCAGCAGCAGCCGCAGAGCGCGCGGGGACCATCTCCGAGCAGAAGTCGAGCCGAGCTCCGCCCCGTCCTCCAGGCACCGGCCGCCGCAGGGAGAGGGAGGGGCCGCCCTGTCACAGGTGCGGATGCGGCCAGGTAGCGGCCCTTCTGGGGCCTCCGGACGTCTCCGCGCAGCGGCGATCCTGCTCGCTCCGAACCACGCTGAGGGCTTGGGCGGGTAATGATGGAGATACAAGAGCAACCTAAGAGTTATTACCGTTAGCAGCGAAGACAGCCAGTAACATCGACGACAGAGACTGCGTCGGCCTCCACTTCCGCCCCGTAGCCCCGGAAACCGGAAATCCGGCTGCCCCGGGTCACGTGCTCGGCCGCCATATTGGCCCCGGGAGCGGCTTCGGCCGGAAGGGGGGGTGCGAGAGCGCGCTGCTTCTCTGGGCGTGGCTTTCACCCGCAGAAACGTCAGTGGAGGGCGGTGGAAAAGATGGCGGCCTCAGCGCAGGAAGATGGCGCCTGCGGCCCAGAGCGAGGGCGGCGGGGCTGCGAGCACTATGACAGAGGATGTCTTCTGAAGGTGACGACTTCTCCGGGCTCGTCCCTGATGCGCTTCCGCTGGACCGGGTGGGCGGAGTGGGCGAGGCGGTTAGACTCGGGCTGAGCTGTTTTTCAGGACACTTCTCCACCTCGAGCTCGATTCCTGCTGTAGAGAAGAGTTTTGGCAAGGCGACCGCAGACCCCAGTTTTCTTCCTGATTGTACTTAACAAGCAAGGCTTTTTTTTTTTTGCTTGATTAGTGGCTGGGCTTACCTGTCGGTGGCTTTATCAAGAGGTTTATTCATTTTAGTCTTTTGCTGCTGGAAGTAGGCTGAGACAGCCTGAGACGTGTCCTGGCTTTCCCCCAGGATCACTTTAAGGAGTGTGATAAAATAATGGGCAAGAAAGAGTTAAGTGGAGAAAGGTAACACATTTCAGCTTCAGTGGCAAGTACATTTCACAGGCGGCCAGGCTCGGTTTAAAATCAGTGACTATGAATAAACCCGCCAAAGAATGAGTAATATGTATGAAACAGGAAGAGAGTCGTGTAATTACCACTAGTGGAAACTATGTGTAGGAAGGTATCTGCATGAATACATTGTTACTTTTGCTGCTTTCTTTGAGAAAAACCCTGCTCTATTTTATAAGTTGGCAACCGCCCAATTAAAATTTGACTGGAATTCCTTGCAAAAGAAGTTTAAGATTTTACTTAAACAATTTGAGCTTTGGCATCACCACAGCCTCACCCCCAAATATTAGCGCTGCTAAAATCTGTGCTGTTTTAGAAGGCACTCTTAAAGTGCTTCCTTTAAAATAAGGAAGATAGACGTTCCTGCTTGATCAAAACTGTGAGGCCTGTAAAGGTAACCTGAAACCTTTCCTTGTAGGGCACAGTTTGGTGAACTTTTTTTACTTTTCGGATGAAACTCAAAGTCATTCACCAAAGGTTGTGTAAAAAATTGAGTGCTAGCCTCATGATTCCATTTCCACTGAGATCTTGTTATTCTTTTAACCTGAGTTTTAAAACTGAAATCAGTGTCTTGGCTCTCTTCTCAGCCTCCCAGGAAACCACACCTGTATTTCGTAGCTCTAAGACAAGTACTTTCTGTTTTAAATACCAGAGGCCAACTGAAGAGTTTTAAAGAGAGATTAAGGAACTCAGTCAAATGCCCTTTGAATAAGATGACAACTGAAAATTGACCTTTAAGTTTGGTGAGGAGGTCACCTGTGAACTTGACAAGAGAATTTTAGTGGTGAAATTAGGAGAAAGCCTGATTGGAGTGGATTCAAGAGCGAAAGGGAGTAGTGAAACTAGTCTTTATGGATAATTCTTGAAGTTTTGTTATAAGTGACCAGAAAATGAGGCTGTGGTTAATGGGACATGTGGATTGTGGAATTTTTCCCTTCTTAAGATGGGAGGTATTGTAGCATGTTTGTATGTATTTGAAAATAACCCAGTAAAATAAGAACATTTTGTATTCAGAACAGAAAGAGAAAACTGTGAGTAGCCAAAGATAGGAGGATCCTCTGCACAAGTGTTGTTGGCCTTACATAAAAATGTGGGCTATAGATGGTAATGTAAGGGATACTGTATAAGATGCATTTGCAAGTAGGTTGGTAGAGTTTGTGGGAGATTGTGTGCTTGGTTATTTCTATTTTCACAGTGAAGTGAGAAGAAAGGTCACCAACAGAGTATAAGATAGGAAGAAAAGGTATTCCAGGTTTAAAGAGCAACATGTGAAATAACCACCAGAATTGTAGGTCGTAGATTCTACAAGAGTGAGGAAATTGACTAGGGCACATGAAAATAAGAGTCCACTTTTTAATTTGTGGTTATGACTTAAAAGTGATACCAGTCAGTCTGGTGGGTCTTATTTCTTAAGCCATATTCAGCTATACACACATAGGATGTTATATGTGATAATTAAATTTATATAGAAAAAAATGAATTTAACCAGAGTTGCGATTTTGGATACATAACTATGTGTATCAAGAGAGAATGAAGGAGATAGGGTTTCTACAAGGGAATGATTGGATTGAGTTGGAAAGAGAGCAGGTAGTGGTCAGAGAATTCCATGTTCAAGATATGAATAGGATTCAGTTCCTGTTCTAGAGTAGTGGTTCTCAATGTACATCAACCCGTGGGCTTTCTGAGGCCCTTTTTTTTTTTTTTTTAAAGTAGATATGAGAAATCAGTTTTTTCCTTTTTTCTTTTTTTTTTTTTTTTGGTGGGACCCTCGGTGGCGGGGGAACGAACCAGCGCTGCAGAGGCTGCGGGCAGCCTCACAGCCCAGTGCTCAATCGCTGTGCCATCAGGGGAGGCCCCTGAGGCCCTTTTTGATGATCCTCAAGGTCAAAACTACTTTCTAACAGATTATTTGTCCTTTTTTTAGCATGTGCAAAAACAATGAGTAAAACTGCTGGCTTCTCAATATAAACTAAGGCAGTGGCACTAAACTGTTCTACATCTATAGTTTAAGTTTGATGTTTTCATCATGAACTTACATGAAACAACTGAAATTGGATGGCTGTTATGAGGGAAAAACTTGTGCATTGGGACTGCAGACTGAACTAGTTGCTGTTTTCACGGAACAACATTTTGCACTTGAACTGTGGTTATTCAGTCTTGGGTATTGGGTGGAGATTTTCTTGAAAAAGAGGAAAGTGAAACTCATTACAAGGAAAAAAATTGATGATAAAATTTGAGCTTCATGTAAATAGAAAAAATTTGGAAAACTTTTATTGTCTGTGGGCTTAGAAGTATCCTAATACCGGGCCTCCCTGGTGGCGCAGCGGTTGAGTGCTGGGTTGTGAAGCTGCCCGTGGCCTCTGCGGCGCCAGTTCGTTCCCTTGCTGCTCCCCAGCCACCGGAGGAGGGTCCCACATGGCGGGCAGACCTCTCCTGCCGCCTGCTGCTCCCCTCAGCAGTCAGTGTACTTCGGTCCTTCTGCCTGCTCTGCTCCCCTCTCTGGCTCTGGTGAATTCTCTCACCATCCCGCGCTTCTGACTGTACCCAGTGCATGTATAAACAAAACAAACAAACAAATAAATAAATAAAACATGCCTCTATTAAAAAAAAAAAAGTATAAAAAGAAAAAAAGAAGTATCCTAATACCTAAAGATATTTCTGATGAGATGAGTTTAATATTAATGAATATGATTTTTTTAAACATTGCATGTTAAATAATGTGAATATTTGGAAGATCTGCATAACCAGTGCACTGATATTTTCCAAATGACCATAGGTAAAGATCCATTCAAAATGCAAGATAAGAGCAGTGGATTTTTTTTTTTTTTTTTAATACAAGCACTGGGTATAGTCAGAAGCGCGGAAGGGTGAGAGAATTCACCAGAGCCAGAGCAGAGAGCAGAACAGACAGACTGACGAAATACACTGCTGAGGGGAGCAGCAGGCGGCAGGAGAGGTCTGCGCACCATGTGGGACCCTCACCCAGTGGCCAGGGATCTGTGGCCAGGGATCGAACTGGCGCTGCAGAGGCTGAGGGCAGCTTTGCAACCCAGCACTCAACTGCTGTGCCACTGGGGAGGCCTATGAACAGTGGATTTTAATGTAGTGGAGAGCAACTAACGTGTAATTTCAGATTCTGTCTTAAAGCTGAATACTTACAAGAGTTTTTTTTTTTTTTTTAAAGTTTTATTTATTTATGCATACAAGAAGTGGGGTACAGGCCAGAGATACAGGGGCCAGGGTGAGAGGATTCACCAGAGACAGTAGGGACCAGAACAGGCAGACTGACTGAAATACACTGCTGAGGGGAGCAGCCGGCGAGACAGGCGAGGTCTGCTTCGCCATTAGGGTTTCTCTCTGGCGGGGATCAAACTCGTGCTGCAGAGGCTGCACATTGCTTCATAGTGCGGGGCTTAACCCCTTGCGCCACCAGGGAGGCCCAAGAGTTGTTGAGTTTTGATAATGGTATCAAGAGAAGAAATGTGATTTTCTGAAAAGACTATTAAAATACTACTCCTTTTTTCAACTACGTATTTCTTTGAACCCAATTTTTTTTCATACACTCCAACCAGAAGCGGAAGCAAGAATGAGATTCTGTGTACTTGAGGGGAAAACACAACTTTTTCATATTAAAACACAACTTTTACAAATTAAAATATGTAATTTATATTAATATGTAATGTGTTGTTAATGTTGTTTTATTTATTTATACAAGCACTGGGTACAGTCAGAGGCGCGGGAGGGTGAGAGAATTCACCGAAGCCAGAGCTGAGAATAGAACAGGCAGTGTGATGAAGTACACTGCTGAGGGGAGCAGCGGGCGGCAGGAGAGGTCTGTGCACCATGTGGGACCCTCGCCCGGTGGCCAGGGATTGAACTGGCACTGCAGAGGCCGCGGGCAGCTTCACAACCCAGCGCTCAACCACTGTGCCACCGGGGAGGCCCTGTTAATGTTATTTTTAAAAGAAGTAGTAGGGCCTCCCTGGTGGTGTAGTGGTTCACTTTCAGCACTATCATCTCTATGGCCTGAGTTCGATCGCTGGCAAGGGAACTAACCCACATAGGGTGCCACACACCTCTCCTGTCTCATCTGCTGCTCCCCTCAACAGTGTGTTTTAGTAGATCCACCTGGACTGCTCCCCACTCAGTCTCTGATGAATCCTCTCACCCCCCACGCCTCTGTCCTACACCCCAGTTTTTCTACACTGAATATATAAGTATATATAAAAGAAGCAATAGATCTTTTAAAAATCCATCACTTTTAATTTAAAACACAGTATTAGTGGGTATAATTCACACTGATTCACAGTTTTTAAGATTGTAAAGGAATTCTGAGACCAAGACTGGCAATCAGAACGGGGAGGGAAGAGCACAAATGGCCATGGTGATAGATTACGGGTGCTATGGTGGTGGAAGAACTCTATGGGGATTACACCTGAGTAGAGAAATCAAATACTGTACAGAAATGAACAACAATGTAAGAAAATGAATGCATTAACAAATATATATATAGGGCCTCCCCTGGTGGCGCAGCGGTTGAGTGCTGGGCTGCGAGGCTGCCCGCAGCCTCTGTAGCGCGGTTCGTTCCCCGACCACCAGCAAGGGTCCCACAAAAAAAAAAAAAAAAAAAAAAAAATATATATATATATATAATTCATAATATTAGTGTTTAAGAGGGTAAAGTAGGTAAGTGAACTGATCTGTAAATGTCTAAGTTGCCTGCCCAACATTTAGGCTCAGAATGAGTGTTGTGAATTGGTTTTTCAATTTAAGGATATCCATTCTTCATAATTGTTTTGTCTTTTCTAAAGATTTATTTATGTATACAAGAACTGGGGTACAGGTCAGAGGTGTGGTGGGTGAGAGGGTTCACCAGAGACAGAGTGGGGAAGGGAACAGGCAGACTGACTGAAATACACTGCTGAGGGGAGCAGTATGCGAGTCAGGAGAGGCCTGCTGCACCCTGTGGGTTACTCCCTGGCCGGGGATGGAACTCATGCTGCAGCGGCTTTGGACAGCATCATAGGTTGTGCCTTAACCCCTTGAGCCACCAGGGAGCCCCATAATTGTTTTGTCTTTAAGAAAAAAGTTATGTTCAACTTTATGGGGATAGGACCTCCCCTGGTGGCGCAGCAGTTGAGCACTGGGCTGGGAAGCTGCCTGCAGCCTCTGCAGCGCCGGTTCGATCCCCCGCTGCCGGCGAGGGTCCCACTTGGCGTGACAGACCTCTCCTGCCGCGCCCACTGCTCCCCTCAGCAGTGTGTTTCGTCAGTCTGCCTGTTCTGTTTCCTGCTTTGGCTCTTTCACCGTCCCACGCTTCTGACTGTACCCAGTGCTTGTATAAATTAAAAAAAAAAAAAAAAAAAACTTTATGGGGATAGATGTTAAAATATGCAAAGAAACAGTGACATGTTATATTTAGGAGCAGTTTACTAAATGATTTATTGGTTATCATTGTTGACCTTGTTCTAGGAGAAAGACGAAGAAAAGTTTCTTCTGGTTTCTTATAATTCTTTTTCTCCCCTGGGGTTTAGGCACCTTGCTGTGACAAATTTTATACTTGTCGGCTGTGTCATGATAACAAAGAAAATCATCAGCTAGATCGCTTTAAAGTAAAGGAAGTGCAGTGTATAAACTGTGAAAAAATTCAACACGTAAGATTTTATTGTTGTACTTACATTTTTTCTGGTGACTTAAAAAATTTTATCGAGTATTGCAAATACAGTATCTTTAGCCCTTAGAGTGAGCAAAGTCTTTGATTTGTTTCAATACTTTTAAAAATAAAACTTCATATACTTTAACATAAATTCTGGATATTCAAATTGTAATTCAAAATGTTTTGATAAGTTTATTCCAGTTTTAAATAATTTGTCTTTTTTTAGGCCCAACAGACTTGTGAGGAATGTAGCACATTGTTTGGAGAATATTACTGCAATATATGTCATCTGTTTGACAAAGACAAGAAGCAGTACCATTGTGAAAACTGTGGAATTTGTAGGTACTGTATATAGAGTATTATTTTATGATTATTGTTAATGTATCTGGGCAATAATAGTTTTAAAAAGTCAATATTATTAGGATATAACTTAGTTCTGTGAAATGAATTCATGTAAAGTACCCAATTCAGTATTGACAAATATATGTGTATTTGTATATTACTACCCACACAATCAAGTTACACATTTCCATTTTTCTAAAGTATTTCTTTATATCTGTTTTTTGCAATAATCGTTTAAGTAGTCCATCAACTGTTGTGTGGCTATTTAAAACTTTGGGATATAAAATATACTTTCATATTAAGTGTTTTGTGGGTAAGTGAGGTAAAATATTAGGGTGGATTTTTCCTTTTTAAAAAGTAATTAAAAAGATAAAATATGATTTGATTCACAAAAACTGGAAAATTAGAATGAGTGAAAATAAATTGATAACCACTCATTGTACCAGCCACTCATTGACAAGTCCAACCAGTCATTGACAAGCTACTATTGCTATCTTGGTGTATAGGAATTTTTTTCTTTTTTAGAAATTCTGAAGTATTAGCTACAAAAACATGTAACATGGATGTTATAAAGTATAACAATACAATAAACAAGCACCTCTATAGGTTGAACTTTCCTTACAGTGACACTAAACATATATAATGAACAAATTATTACTGTAGTAAAAATGAATCCAATTTCTTGGCTCTCATGTTTGTGTTTTCTTAGGATTGGTCCAAAGGAAGATTTTTTCCACTGTTTAAAATGTAACTTATGCCTAGCTGTGAATCTCCAAGGAAAACACAAGGTATATAATTCAGTTTGCATAATTTAAAAAGTAATACAATGCTTTTGAAACCATCTTTGAAACTATAAATTCTAATTTATAGAATTTGGAAGTATGCTAATTTTCAGATATTACCAGGTGTAATAGAGATTTTTTTTTAAAGCAGTATTAAGAAGTAGACATTCCAAAATAATTATCTCAGAATCTATAATTCCTTTTCTTATGGTTTGTAAGAATATACTTATATCAGTTATTAGCATAATGCTGAAATCTTACTGATTTATAGATTCTTATCATCAGTACTGGTTTAGGAATAATTTAAAAAATGCAAAGTAATACAATCAGAATGAAGTATAAATAATGTTTATACAGGTATGGGGAGTTCCAGTTACAGGGGAATAGCATATGTAGTAAAATGTTTGGGTGTTGAAAGAGAAAGAGAGACATAGACATTGATTAGAAAAAGTACTATTTGAAATCATTTACTTTGAGTTATAATAATTTCAGTAGGAAACAGAGCAGAACAGCAGACTGACCAAAACACACTGCTGAAGGGAGCAGTGGGCGTGACAGGAGAGGTCTGCCTTGCCATGTGGGTAAGGATAAGGATAAGAGGTTATTGTAGAACTACAGATAGTAGATAATAACTGTCCTGAAATAGTGAAGTAATGAGAAAAATTGAGATGGATAATGTGGGGTTTGGTAACAAAGTGTAAGGGAAAAAGAATGGGGCTGAATGAAGATTATTCCTAAGGTTTTTAAGTACTCTTAAGGTACTGTGACTTTGGTGGTGATTTTGGTACTTAATTAATGGACTGTGAAGGTGGTGATTTTGCAGGCTGGGATTTGGGTTGATAGCAAAATATGCTAGTGGATTATCCAGGAGTCAGTATCCTTTTACAAATGATATTTCTATGTGTGTGCATATGCACAATCATGCATGTGTGAACACAGCATGAACACAATCAACTTATTTCACCTGCATGACAAGATTTGCATCTTACCAATTTAAAGATACCATTGATTATCATTGTGGTTCCAGAGATGTTAAAATGTGTGTGTAGAAAGTACATCTTTTTTTTCTTTTTTTTTAAAGATTCATTCATTTATGCACACAAGAGCTGGGGCACAGGCCAGAGATGCGGGGGGGTAAGAGGATCCACTAGAGACAGAGTGGGGAACAGAACAGCAGACTGACCGAAACGCACTGCTGAGGGGAGCAGTGGGTGAGACAGGAGAGGTCTGCCTTGCCATGTGGGTTTCTCCCTAGCCGGCCAGGGATTGAACTTGTGCTGCAGAGGCTGCGAATTGCTTCATAGTGCGGTGCTTAACCCATTGCGCTACCAGGGAGGCCCTAGAAAGTACATCTTAGAGTCAATGTAATATGTATTGATTTTGTTTTATAGTAAGGAAAATTAAGACCCAAGATGTAATGACTTTCCCGAGATCTTAATTATTAGTAAATGACAGGGCTAGGATTACAATCTAGATTTTTGAACTTGCTATTTTTTTAATATATTTTTTATATCATTCTTCATTTGTGTACAATATGTGCATTTTTATGTTGATTATAGTCCCCGTACAATTCCCACGACCCTTGTTTTAATCCTACTACCACCCCTCCCCCCCTCAGTGTCTCTGGTTTATAGTTACTTTTTGATTTTGATTTTTACTTTATTATAATTAGTCCTTTTCCTGGTCCATTATTTAGGTTTTCTAAATTCCTATGAGTGAGATCATCTAGTATTTTTCTTTTTCTTTCTGGCTTCTTTCACTGAGCATGATCCCTTCCAGCACCATCCATGTTGCTGCAAATTACATGAATTTATCTTTTTTGATTGCTGAGTAATATTCCATTGTGTATATGTACCATATCTTCTTGATCCAGTCATCTATTTTTGGGCATTTGGGTTGTTTCCATAGCTTGCATATTGTAAATAGTGCTGCAATAAACATAGAGGTGTAGGTGCCCTTCTGAATTAATGTTTTTGTGTTTGAACTTGCTATTTTTAAGGGTTTTTTCTGCCTACTCTATTATTAAAAAACTGTGCGTGCACGTGTGTGTATATATACATATACATTTTTCTCATATTTTTTGTGTGTGTATATATATTTTATATATGTATATTTTTTTAAGATTTATTATTTTTTTTATTTATACAATAGCTGGGGTACAGGCTAGAGCCGTGGGCGGGTGAGAGGATTCACCAGAGACAGAGTGGGGAGTAGAACAGGCAGAGAGACCAAAAGCACTGCTAAGGGGAGCAACGGGCGCCACTCTACCACACCATGTGGGAATCACCCTGGCCGGCTGGGAATTGAACCGATGCTGCAGAAGCTGCAGACAGCTTCATAGTGCTGTGCTCAACCTGCTGCGCCACTGGGGAGGCCCTCCTCATGATGTTTTTGTTTATTGTCTTGCTAATTATCTTACTGTGTATATTTCTTATTTTTTTTTAAAAGATTTTAATTTTTTTTTTATGCATACAAGAGCTGGAATACAGGCCAGAGGTGTCCCAGTTTCTCATTTTAAAAAATTTTTGTGTAGAAGAACTGGGGTGCAGACCAGAGGTATGGGAGTGAGTGGCACCAGAGAAAGGGTGGGGGGCAGAAAAGGCAGATTGACTGAAATACGCTGCTGAGGGGAACAATGGGCGAGACAGGAGAGGGCTGCTGTGCCATATGTGGCTTAGCTCCCTGGCCAGGGATCAAACTCAGGCCTTTGAGGTGGGCCTTCGTGGTGGTAGCACTGAGACTTAATCCCTAGGCCAGCAGGGAAGTCCTTAACTGTGTATGTTAGTAAATAGCTGTATCATCTCCTTTAGTGCTTATGTACTTCAAAAACCTGGGCATCATCCGTGACTTGTTGTGTTCCTTTACCTCCCCTCATAATCAGACGCTAAGTCTTATCAGGTTAAGAACTCAGACTCTGGAGGTAGCCTTTTATAGCTCATATATAGTTCCATATCTTAGTAGCATGTAACTTTGGAAGTTATTTAGCTACTGAAGCCTCAAACATCTATAAAATGGATAAAAATTGTACCTGTATCATTTAGAGTTGTGATAATGATTTGGGCTAATACAGATAATGTTCTTAACGTATGGTACCTAATAAGACTCAATTATTATATATATATATTAAGTAGTTTAGCTTTAGCATAAAACATTAAACTGGGAGCACTCGGTCTGCCCACCTGTGACTTTGCAGGTACTTCTTTTCACCAACTCTCTCCCTCAGCAGCCTTCCTGCCTGCCCATGACCTGTCAAGGCCACCTGCCTGCAACCAGGCAGGCCTCTCTTAGCAAACCTGTCCCTTCTGGGGCAGCTCTTCCTGTCCGCTTGTGTCTACGCAAGTGTCTTTAACTGTTTTATCCCTTCCCTAATAAACCTGCCCTTTAAATATTAAAAAAAAAAAAAAACACACATTAAAATGAAAGATTCCAAATGTCACTCTGCATCTTCGGTATATTGTGGCTCATTGAGTTTCTTTATCTGTAAAGTGAAGACAATTTGAATAATTAAGATGTATTGAGCAATTACATTGTTTCAGTTAGTATGCAAAGCAACACAACTATTTTGTTTGATCTTTGACATATCAGAAACATGTATTAAAGCTAGATTTTATTATTAATACTGTTATGTCTGACATTTTCAGCTAGTTAATAAGCCTTTGGTAATTTGATTTTTTTTTTTAAATAGTGTATTGAAAATGTTTCCCGACAGAATTGTCCAATATGTTTGGAGGTAAGCTTAAAAGCTTTTTTCTTTAGAAATCTTACTTGCTGAACTAAAAATAATTTCTTTATATTGTCTTCATGTAAGCAATAATGTTTGTTTCATTTATAGGACATTCATACATCCCGTGTTGTTGCTCAGGTCTTGCCATGTGGACATCTTCTGCATAGGTAAAAGTTTGGTGTTTTACTTGAAAGATGTTGGCAAATGGAAGTAGTTTTTGCTTTATTAAAATAATGTTATACTTTCTTTCAGAACGTGTTATGAAGAAATGATGAAAGCGTGAGTGTTTGATGGGATTTAAAAATATTATAATTGTAAGATGTCTGTTTTTTGTTTTGTAAGGGTGTGGGAAGGCAGGAAAATACTGCTGTTGCTTGTACTGTGTTGGGCATGGACATGGCACCTCCATCTTGAGGTGGATAGGGTAGATGAACAATGTTAAACTGACAAAGCATCATGGGGAGTATAGGATTGCACCTTTCTGTCCATGTTTCTTTTATGCCTTATTTCTTCCCACAATTTAAAATAGATAACTCTTACTATTTGGCCATACTTATCAGGGAGCACAGTCCCTACCAGAATGACTTACAATGTAAAATTGTTGAGGTGTGTTACTAATGATTCTGCTAAGTCATTATATTGGCCCAGTGCAATCACCTGCAAAGAAACGAAACAAAACAAACCCAAAAAACTGGTAATGAGGTTATCTAAAGCAGGAACTTTATTGTGAGGAAATGATGTCAAATTGAGTTGAGAATAGTTAGGGAAGAAGACACTGTATAAATGTATTTGGTTCCTGGAAACTGATGAACAGAAATTTTAATTTAATATAAGAGCCAGGTAGAAGGTTTTTCAAAATTTTTAGAAAGGAAATAATATGATCTGAATAAATTTTATGGAATGTCTTGAAATACAGAACAAGGCCCTGTCTTGGGTGCTTTGTATACTAGTTATCATGATCTAGTATACCCAGGTGATACGTGATCCATTTAATATTTGGAAAATAACCTTTCTATCTTTTCTAGTGGCTACAGATGTCCATTATGTATGCGTTCTGCTTTCGACATGACTTGGTCCTGGAGACAGCTGGATGATGAGGTAGCACAGACTCCTATGCCATCAGAATATCAGAATATGACTGTGGATGTAAGTATAATAAGTGCTTAAAAGTGTTCCTGCTCCTTGTTGATGTTTTTTGTTTTTGTTCTTTTGCTCAAATCTGTCTAAAAGATAACCTCTTTGGTATAAGTGCTAAGTGGTGATTAATGGGAAGGACAAAATCTTTTAAAAATTGTTACAATTTTTATATCAAATATAATGATTTCCCATTTGTTTATAAAACTATTTACTTTTCAGAGTACATCTTAACATTTTAGCATGTGCATATACTTCACTTACCCTCCACCAAAGTTCCAGTGCCAAAACATGATCACATAAACCCTTCTCTCCTTTTATTATTCCTTCCCTCCCCCTCTGGTAACGACCATCATTTTTAGAGTTTGAAGATTTATTTGCCAATTTTTTCCCCTTTGGTTAGTTATAGTCCACAAATAAGTGAACCCACCTGATAGTTGTCATTGACCTTCTGACTTATTTCACTTGGCATAAATCATCTCAAGCTCCATCCATATTGTCCCAGAAGTCACTTTTTTAAATAGTTGACTCATAGTCTGTTGAGTACATATATCACAATTTCCAGTTGTCTGTCAGTAGGCTTTAAGTTGACTCCATATCTTGGCTATTGTGAATAATGCTTTTGTGACTATAGATAATGCTTTTGTGACTGTAGAGTGCATAAATCTTTTCATAGTGGAGTTCACATATTCCTGAGATGATAAATACCTAGAAGTGATGTTGATGGGTCATATGGTATTTCCATTTTTATTTTTTAAAGGCTTCTCCGTACCATTTTTTCATAGAGGCGTTAACCAATTTACATTACCCCCAACATTGAATGAGAGTTCCTTTTTCTCCACACCCTTGCCAACACTTGTTTCTTGGTTTTTTTATAGGCCATTCTCAAAGGGGTGAGGTGGTGTCTCATTGTGGGTTTGATTTGTCTTTCCCTTATAATAAGTGATGTTGAGCATTTTTCCATGTCTTTGTGGGTATCTGTATGTCTTCTTTGGAGAATTATTTACTTAGGTCTTTGCCCATTCTTTGCTTGGGTTATTCTGTTGCTTATTTATTTATTTATTTATTTATTTATTTATTTATTTATTTGAAATTAGCCCATTGTTGACATGTGATAAGCAGATATTTTCTCTTAAGGACAAAACCCTCCTTTTTTAAAAAAAATTTAAAATTTATTTTTTCTTTATTTTCTTATATCATTGTTCTCCCTTTAGGTGTTGTCCTGTAGTTCTCCCAACACCATAGCACTTGTGAACCTTCACTTAATCCCTTGTGCTCTTCCCTCCTGCCTTTTTTTTTTTTAAGATTTATTTGTACATACAAGAACTGGGGTGTAGGCCAGAGTTGTTGGGGAGGGAGGGAGGGAATGAGAGGACTCACCAGAGACAGAGTGGGGACAGGAGGGAGCAGCAGGCAAGACAGGAGAGGTCATTGGCTGCCAGTAGCTTCATAGTGCTGAGACCTAACCCCTTGTTCCACAAGGGAGGCCCCCCTCCAGTCTTGTGACCCTTTTCCTTCCCCTTCTCTTGCTGTTTGCCTCTATTCTTTGGTCAGCTTGCAAGTTTTGTCTTTTTTTCCTGACCCTTTATTCATTTTTCCTGCTTCACCTATAAGTAAAACCATCCAGTATTCTTTCTTTTTCCTTCTTACTTACTTTGCTTAGCATAATCCTTTCCATAATCCCTTCTTCTATGTTGCTGCACATGGTATAAGTTTATCTTTCTTGATCACTGAGTAGTGTTCTTTGTGTATATATACCACATCTTCTTGATCTATTCATCTGTTTTGGGGCATTTAGGTTGTTTCCATATCTTAGTTATTGTAAGTAGTGTTGTAATAAACATAGGAGTACAGATTTCTTTTTAAATTCCTTGTTTTTGTATTCCTTGGCTAGATTCCTAGTAGGGGAATTGCTGGATCATAAGTTAAATCCATTTTTAGTGCTTTGAGGGTTTTCCACACAGCTTTCCATAGTGGCTGGATCAGTTTGCACTCCCACCAGCAGTCTAAGAGGATTCCTTTTTCTCTACATCCTCGCCAGCATTTGTTGTTGCCAGTTTTTTTAATATGGGCCTTTCTCACGAGTGTGAAGTGGTACCACATTGTAGTTTTTATTTGCATTTCCCTCATAATAAGTAGTGTTGAACAATTTTTTATATGCCTGTTGGCCATTTGCATTTCTTTGGGGAAATGTCTTTTTAATTCTTCTGCCCATTTTTGACTGTTTGCTTTTGTTGAGTTGTATAAGCTTTTTGTAGATCTTTCATATTAGTCCCTTATTGGTTGTGTGGTATGCAAATATTTTCTCCCATTCCATAGGGTGTCTCTCTTTTTTTTGGGTTACTGTCTCTAAGCTTTTTAGTTTAATGTAGGAGGATAAAATAATCTTTACTAATGATTATCTTCCTGATTCTTTCCAACACTAGATGGCAGGCAACAACCTTATTCTGAATTATTTACAAATTACTTACCAGAGTCAGTCAGTAATGTAATTCAGTAGAGGGTGGTTACTAGTCTGATGTTTTATTTTAAATTATTTAAATTATTTAAATTTTTATTTCAAATGATTGTGTGTGCCCATTTTTATTTTTAGTTAATTTTTGGTTTTTGATGTTTATTATCTTTTTTTCTATTTCAAACTTCTTTGATCTCAATTAGTTTGCAGTCTAAAATTTTATAAGTATTTCCGTACCTTTTACCTTGAGAAGAATGATCATCTTTTTTTCCCCTATTAATTGAGATGTGCTGCTGTTTGTTCTTAGCATGGTGTAATAAATTATAGATCAGAAGTAGAAAACTAGGGGCTTCCCTAGTGGTGCAAGGGGTTAAGTCGCAGCACTAGTTCAATCCCCGGTCAGGGAGGTGACCCACATGGCACCGCAGACCACTCCTGTCTTGCTTGCTGCTCCCCTTAGCAGTATATTTCATTAAATTTGCCTGTTCTGCCCCTCCTCTGTCTCTGGTGAATCCTCTCACTTCTCTCCTTCCCCCCGCACCTCTGGCCTACACCCCAGCTCTTGTGTGCATAAATCAATAAAATAAATCTTTTTTTAAAAAGGAAGTAGGGCCTCCCCAGTGGCACAGCGGGTTGAGCGCAGCGCTGTGAGGCTGTCCGCAGCCTCTGCAGTGCTGGTTCAATTTCCTGCTGGCCAGGGGGATACCCACATGGCGCAGCAGACCTCTCCTATCTTGCCTGCTGCTCCCCTCAGCAGTGTCTTCGGTCTGTCTGCCTGTTCTGCTCCCCACTCTGTCTCTGGTGAATCCTCTCACCTTCCCACGCCTCTGGCCTGCACCCCAGTTCTTGTATAAATAAAAATAAATCTTAAAAATTAAAAGGAAGTAGAAAACTAGATAGCTTTCTGGTGCTTTAATAACTTTTGGACATTTATATAAATCTTTAGTGTAGTTCAGATACTGTATACAAAAGGATAAAACCACTTAACAAGCCCAAAGAAATATTTTTTGTTTTATTCCTGCTGGAACTTCTCATAATTCATCTGGATAATTTAATTGTTAGTAAACTCAATGAGAGATCACTTTTAGAATACTAACCAGTAATCATATGATGCTAGAGGCTGCAGTGTGTTATATTTCATATTGGTCATTTTTCAGAAAAGCGGCTTTATGGAGATGTAATTCACATACCATATAACTTGCCCATTTAAGTGTGTAATTCAGTGTTTTTAGTATATTTTTGGAGTTGTGCAAATATCACCATTATCAATTTTAGAATATTTTCATAACCCCAGAAACTCCATACCTTTTCGCAGTTGTTCACTAATTCTTTTAGGCAACTAGTTCGTTTTAGGCACTTTTAGGCACTAAGTAGTTTTAGGCAACTGCTAATCTATTTTCTACATTTGGATCACATTCTTGCAAGAATCATTTTCCAAATTACAATTTTATAGGATTTTGGGAAGTTTTCTAGTATGTGACTATAGTAAAAGCTAATGCTTTTCTCACATAGTAATTTATTGACTTATTTTCAGGTTAACACCTTTTTTTTTTTTCCCCCTCAGGGCCTTAGTAATGGAAGAGAGTAATTCCTGTGTAGCATTTTATTGTCATTTTAGAGATAAACCAAATGCTGCTCTTTATTCAATCTTAGCAACTACTCTTTTGGACTGCAATTCATTACTGAAGTATAAGACTAGAAGCTTAGTGTATTAAACCTAAAGAATAAGCAAAAAATAATGATAGATACTTAACATTTGTTTTATTTGAGTTAATTTTCTAAGTGTCAATGAAAAATAATGAAATCATGAATTGTAAGTATAGATATTGACCTGATTATGCCTATGCTAGTTTTCATACAACTGCTATTTATACTATTTGGGAACTTTTAAAATAAGCCTTCTTTGTTCAAATACACACTTTCATTTTCAATATTCAGAGCTACCTTTATAGCTGCTGTGTGTTTTCAGTGAACTAATTAAAGGTATTTCTACTTATGGAGAAGTTTGGGATTATGTTTTCACTTCTGCAGTGTGATTTTTGAGGAGTTATTTTGAGCAGCTATTGCTTTGTATCAGTAAGATTCAGTATACTTAATTTTAATTCATCTCTTCACTTTTCAGATTCTCTGCAATGATTGCAATGGAAGATCTACAGTGCAGTTCCATATATTAGGCATGAAATGTAATATTTGTGAATCCTACAATACCACTCAAACTGGAAAATCAGCAATGATCAGCAATGATTAGATCAGCAATGATCAGCCTATACTGCACTGGAAAACTCAGCATTTTCTGATAATAGAAAAAAATCTATCTTTAGTATCCTGTTGTCTAATGTGTCAGACTCTATGCATTAGAATTGATGTGTTTTGTATTAGGGTCACACTGTAAAAATCAAATGTACTTAATGATTCAGGGTCTCTTGGTAGAATTATCAGAGCTCTATATTGGAGGAAATTTACCGCACTTGTGTTTTGATTGTAAATCCCTTTTGTGTCAGCTATTTAGAAGGCAGTCATGTTTGCCACTGAAAATTAACATCCCTAGAACTATGTTACACTTCTGTGAACTTTTCTTCAAGTGATAGAACTGCATTTAATTCTCAATATTATTCTTGATTTTTCCGGGCTGTGCTATAATGAGAATATGTTCTATCTTACTGTTAAAATCAATTACATGTGCTTTAGGGTTTTCTAAGACAGTCCTTTGGATCCTGTAAATGTAAATTTTGATGTAATAACTGCAAAGAAATCATTTTGAAACAGTATTTTATAGAAAGGTTTTTTTCTAGGGTTATCTATTCTTGCTTCAGTAAAGCAGTACAATCAGTTTTATAATATAAAGAAAATCTTTTCCTTCTTTTGAGGTTTTTATCCGTAAGAGTAATGGGAAAAATGTAAAAGAGTAGAACTCTTCCAAGCCTCTAAGCTATCGACACTGAAGTAATTTTACTGAGGTTGAGAATTATCTCTTTGAAGAATAATTCATTCAGTCATCAGGTATTCAGTGAGCAGCTACTGTTTGCTGGGTATGGTTCTAGATGCTGTGAGGATAAGTGAGCAATACAAACAAAAGACACTGCTGTTATGGTGGTACATTCTAGTGTTCCTCATCCTTGCCTAGCCCTCTCCTGCGCACATGGTGGTTGTTTTTGTTGTAAATACATGAATTCTTCCCTACATGATGGCGAATAGATATGAATGAGTAAAAGTGGTATGAAATATTCCTGGCCAGATCTCTGATATATTTTTTTTGGGGGGGGGACTTATAATAAAATTAAATATACCTCTTAATGTGGGAGCAAAGTATAAAAAATGCTTAGCTTGTTATATGTATTATGTGTAATATATAAATGTCCAGCTTGTTATATAAAGCTCTAGGTTACAGAATAAAATATGTACATTTCAGTTGATGGGTATTTATTAAACACACATTTTCTTTTTTTTTTCCCCTGTGCCTGCCCCCCACAAATTTTATTTTCAACTTTGAGTTCCTTTGGTCTCCTGTGAATAAGGAAGATAGTTTTACTACTGGGAATCATAACATTTCTGATGCATTTGTTTCTCTTTTGTTGAAATCTCTTGCATAAAGGCATCAGTGTTGATTGCCAGTTTTGGGCTCAGATTTTCTTTATTCCATTACTCCTGTTAAAGAGCAGGGTGAGGGGAGCCCCAGAACTCCCAAACCTGCCCTTTGTAAATAGGTTCTGCCACCCACTTCATCACGACAAACATACTCTAGTAAGACCTTTAAGGAAAAGGAAACTTCAATTAGTGTGTAACAAAGAAAAGACAAGGAATATAGTTTCCAAATCAAAGTTAACCCATCCCCTGTGGGTAAATGCCCAGCCAAACAGCATTGGCCCAAAGTTGGGCCGCTGAGACCCAAAAGCCTGCCACAAGTCTGAGGCATCTTCTTCTGGGGATCTGTAGGAAAGGGGCTGAAGGGGCTCAGCACATCTGGGACAGAGGTACAAAATCAAAATCAAAGCTGCCATTGTTAACCTCTCCATGGGTTTCTCACCCACCTCTGTTCCAACCAGTCCAGGACCAAGAAGCAAGCACAGTTTCTTCACATGTCTCTGCTCCATGTGTCACCTCTAGGCTCCCCACCCTTCTTTCTTCCTTCCCCCAGTGTCCTCTCCAGCTTCTCCCAGGTCAGCTCTATCCTTCCTTGGGTGCAGCAGGAAAGCTGGAAACTCCCCTTTCCCTGGAGACTACCGTGTTAACGTTTCCGTTTCCTGTCTTCCCTGTTCTCTCCCTTCTGTTTCTCTGGCCTGGGCGGAGCAGTAGTGCTCATCTTGATTTAAAGGCATGGGATGTATTGCCAGGACTTACCATCAGTATACAGAGAAGAAAGACTAGTTTTCCACTTTAAATACTTTTTATTTCTACCATCTCATCCTGCTAAACTAAATCATACTTCCTTTTGTCATATCTTTGAGTAGGAGTGAATATAACATTATATAGCAAAACTCTGATTTAAGCATCTACTGTGTGCCAGCTTATGCATTAGCTTTAATCATTATGATAATAGGGCCTCCCCTGCTGGCGCAGTGGTTGAACGCTGGGCTGCAGCACCGGTTTGATCCTCTGCCCCGGTGAGGGTCCCACATGGCACGCAGACCTCCTGCAGTGCCCACTGGTCCCCTCAGCAGTGTATTTTGTCAGTCTATTCTGCTCCCTGCTCTGGCTCTGGTGAATTCTCTCACCCTCCTGCTCTTCTCACTGTACCCAGTGCTTGTATAAATAAATAAATCTAAAAAAAAATCATTATGATAATATAATTATGTAGGTTTATCTCCACTTTATAGATTAGAAAGCTCAGGTTCAGAAGTTAAATGACATGCTGGAGCAAATGACTGTTTCTGCTGGTCCCCGCCTGTTGATAGTAATGATGCTAACTAGAGAGGCCTGAGGCTAGTCACCTGGGCCCAGATGAGCTAACTATAAACATCTCCCGTCTCTGCTTTCCAAACCAGTACTTATGATTGCAAAATATCCTTTAGCACTAACAAGCAGAAAACTGGAAAAGACAAATGTTTATTACAGGATCTGGAAATTTCATTAGCAGACCTAGGGCCATACAGTGAGGTCACAGGTAGAGAGAACAAAAGGACTTGAGTTCTGGTTTTGCCGGAATCCAGTGTGGAAGCCTTAGGGTTTCCTGGGTTCACTACCAGTGAATTGAAAAAATAGGAGCAGAAATATAAAGCTCTGGAAGAGTAACAAGTGGTTCAAACAGTTACTGTAATCAACCATCATCTCTAAAACAAAGATGCCTAAGTGGGGGAGGTGTCCTGGCTTTTTACCTAGTGTGTGACTGTTAGGGTGTGCCTTAGCATTCAGTGCCTACTTCAGGTAATTGCATTACAGAAAGAGAAAACCTAACTGTCAGGGCTTATTCTACAGACAGCTGCTAAAGATTGGAACTGGAAATTAGATCAGGTCCATTCTACATTGTCTTTCACTTAATCCTTGCCAGCTAAGTCATCTATGGAGAGCTCATGATTAGAAAAACCTTCCAATTTTATATATTTTAATTCAAAATCTGATTACTTTTATCTTCAGCTCAGAATCCAAATTTGTCCAAAATAATGCAGAATTAGTATGTAATCACTTTATTATATTCAGTCATGTACTTGAAGCCGTTTTCAAATGCCATTAAAGTTAAAGTGTTGAAGTCTAGGCTAAAGTCCCTAGAGTTTCTTTAAGGATTTCTCCGTGATATGTCAATTCAATGCCCCAATCCTTGATCAGTTCTTATTTACAAACAAAATTTCTTAGCATTCAGTAATTAAAATGGATGCAGTAGACCCCGGTATCTGTGGGTTTGTTTTTCTCAGTTTTTTTTTTTTTTAAAGATTTATTTGTTTATGCATATAAGAGCTGGGGTACAGGTCAGATATGCGGGGGGTGACAGGATTCACCAGAGACAGAGTGGGGAACAGAACAGGCAGGCCGACTGAAACACATTGCCATCAGGAGAGGTCTGCTGCGCCATGTGGGCTGCTCTCTGGCCAGCCGGGGATCGAACTCGTTCTGCAGAGGCTGCGTATTGCTTCATAGTGTGGTGCACAGCCCCTTGCGCCACCAGGGAGGCCCCTGTTTTCCTCAGTTTAAACTATCTGTATTACCTCTACTCAACCACTAATTAAAAATATAAAGTGAAAAAGTTCCAGAAATCAAATAAGTTATAAATTGTGTGTCATTCTGAGTATTGTAATGAAATCCCATGCCATCCTGCTCTGATTCACCCCAATGTGACCTATCCATTAGTCCAGCGGCTCACAGCTGTATGTAGTAAGTAGTCTTACACGTACACTTCACAATGCCTGTGTCAGTCACTTCACTTCATCTCATCATGTAGGCACTGTACCCTCACAAGAAGGTAGGTGAGCACAATACAATGAGATTTTGAGAGTTCACATTTGCATAACCTTTATTATATTGTTAACAATTCTAATTTGTTAGTTATTTTCAATCTTTTATTATGCTTAATTTATAAATTAAATTCATAGATATGTATGTATGTATAGTAAAAAAAAACAGTAAATACAGGGTTTGTTACTGTGGTTTCAGACACAGGGGTTCTTGGACCATATTCTTGGAGGATAAGGGGGAAACTTCTTAAAATTTTTTTTAGCCTTTTCTCACTTTATTGAAGGACAGAGGTAAAAATAAAAGTAATAAAAGCCTCATTTTCCAGTGATAACTTCCATTCACATTTTAACAGATTACTTCATTCTTTTCTTTTCCTGTTCAGAGACTTTTAAAAGCTCACAGGAATATTAAATATTTAGTCTGGGCCTCCCTGGTGGCACAGGGGTTAAGATGCAACCTATGAAGCAATCCACAGCCACTGCAGCACAAATTTGATTCCCAGCCCACCAGGAAGAAACCCACATGGTGGGATGGAACCTCTCCTGTCTCGCCTGCTATTCCCCTCAGCAGTGTACTTCGGTCCCCTGTTCTGTTCCCCGCTCTGTCTCTGGTGAATCCTCTCACCCCCCACATCTCTGGCCTGTACCCCAATTCTTGTATAAAAATAAATAAATCTTAAAATTAATAATAAAAAATACTTATTTTGACCTCCAGTATATTAGAATTGTCTGTCCCTGAAATTAGGAACGCAGAATTGTTTGCCCCCAAAATAAGTCAGGTTGCTCTGCCATAGAATTTGCATCTGTAGTGTACTTATTTTAAAATCCAGTTCAATAAGTTTATGAATTTCTTGGTGCACAGAAAGCTCTTTGGCCCTTTTAATCACTAGAAAGTGTGTATAAATTTTCTTTTAATCTGATGGTTTCTGGAGCTCTGTATAATAATTTTAGTTTGTGTTTGAAGTAGTAGTATATTTATGGCATCATAGATTTTAAAATCATGCTTATTTTTCATGGAGCTATTTTTATATTGTGTACATGTTTAATTTTCTTTTTAAATTTTGGTTATGAAACAGTGAATTGAGACTAAGAAACCAACATCCTTTTTTCATAAGGGCATGGGTATAGTAGTGTTTAGTAGTGAATTTGAAATAGTGGATATTCGAGACTGCCGTTTTAAATTGTCTCTGTTTCAGTTCTCTTAACATTTTGCTGTTTTGCATTAAATTCATGTGAATTTATTTCTTACTAAATGGACTTGTTTCTTATAGACATTTTTACATGTACTTTTTCATTGTGTTTGTCCAATTACTCTTTTGGATTATATACCATCTTTGGGCAGGTCTGCTTATTTTGATCTTACACATTCTCTTTTTCATTATCATAAAAGTCTCAAACCTACCTGGTTGTTTCACATCCTATTTTACTCTCTGACTCCTCACATCCATCCTGCCAGATTACTTTTCCTAAAACTTAGACTTGTTACAATTTTGGTCAAAATACTGTACAGCTTCCCTACTATTTATTTGATTAGACCCAGATTCTACACTTTGAAGACCTTACAGTGTTCCAGTTTTATCTTTTGAGTTTTATTTTTCATTATTCATTTACATAGATTTCTTAAACAATCCTCTAAATTTTTGTTCCTTGACTTTGCATATATGTTCCTCATGGAACAATCATTCTTAGAAAAATATAATCAATAAAAGTTTGCTTGCTTGTGTTTAGCTCATTTTACCTTCCCCAGAAATGTTAATTAATATCCAAATTTGTTTTGTAAATTCTTCCTCTTGTAAACAATAGCACTTTGTATCTACCTTACAGGACTTAGCATTTCCTTTGTTATGCTTTGTTTTTTGCCTTTCCCCTTCTTTCCTCAGCCCTGTATATGAAATAGTGTATCTGAAGCTTTGGAAGGACTAAACTGTGGTGGGAGCAAGGCTGGCATTTTCCCACTGCCACCTACGTGGTGGGAGCCACTGGAAAAACTTGGCGGTTTTCCCTGCCTGTGCCAGAATTTGCCACCTTCGGGCAGCTCCTCCCGTGGG